TTCATTCCTCCACACATCATGAGCATTCTCATACAAATCTCTAAAATAGTCCTTCTAGCATCCTCTTGCTTCAATTTCATCCCAAATAATTTCGTCCTTTTTATTTTTTTATTTTACTTATTCTGCTAGGGGCTCCATGCTTGTCTCTCTTCATCCACTTCCAAAATATTTCTCTTTTTTTTCCTTCTTACTTTTCATTGACATTGCTCTGCATTTTCTCTGCCTCTTTTAATTTTAACAGTTCCTTGCTCTCTTGACTACATTCTTTGCAATTATCTTCTTCTTTATATACACATTGCACAATATTGTTCTTTGATCTTCATTTTTTTCAGAAGTTCTTCTTTTATGTGCTTTTCCCCCTCCTCATTTACACCCATCTATAATTTTTTGCCCACTATCAGTCTGCCAAGCATTCTCTTTCATATTTCACACTGATGTAATTCCATACACTTCTGTAGCATATTTTCCACCCTATTCTGTGCATAAGAGAGGACACCTCTTCCCTTCATTCTATAGGAACATTAACCTACCATCTACCATTTTTTTCATATAATATCTGCATTTTCTCTTTTTCCAATTGTTCAGCATTCACTCTGTTTTTGTTCATTTCTTTCCTGTTCTTCCATGTACATTTTCCCCAAGTCTCATTCTTGACACTATCAAAAAATGATCTGTCCCAGATTCAGAATATCTCATCACCTTTGTAATCCTTCACTAATTCTCTCAGTCCTTTATCCTAAATTCTTAAATCAATCATGCTTCGTCTTCAATTCAGGTATTTTTTTATAAATGCAAGAATAGATTTATGCTTAAATGATGTCTTCAAACAAGCAGTCATTTTTTAAATAGGTAGCCAGCAAACATCACCGTTCTCATTCATTCTTGGGATCTCTAAATGCCCTATCAATTTTCTGTTCTTTTTCATCTAGCTTCGACTCATGCATTTCTGTTACCCAGCAAAACAATCTTTTTCCCAGATCACATGCATTCAGAATGGTGCACCACTTTCTCCAAAACTTTCCCCTGATTCTTTCATTATAATGATTCATTTGAATTCTGTCTTTCTTAATATAGGTACCGTGTTTTCCCTAAAATAAGACCTACCCTGAAAATAAGTCCTAGTTTTGGGGTGAAGCGCATGCCTAAAAATAAAGCTAGGATGGGGATGGGGAGGGTGGAGCTGCCCCATACGCCCTGCACCTGCTTACCATTGCAGCCAGTCCTCCCATGCCCTGACACCTGCCTCGCCTCGCTGGCCACTTCTTCTGTGGCTGCTCGCCACTGCTCGCGTGCATCACCCCGGCCTCTGTTTCGCCATCATAGGCCTTCAGAAAAGGCCTCTGCAGCCGAGAATTGAGCTCCAGATTGATGCACATGGTGCCCCCTGGGGCCCGGGGGGGCACTGCAAGTGTCAATCGGGAGCTCGGATGCTTGGCAACTGACTCACATTTAATGACGGTTGCAGTGCCCCGGGGTCATGCGATCCCCTTTTGCAATCTTCTGAAAAGTAAAGTCAATGGGGAAGCCAGATTCCCTTAATAACTGTATTATTAACAACAACTGCAATGGTTCACTTAACAACTATGGCAAGAAAGGTAGTAAAATGGGGCAAAACCCACTTAACAAATGTCTCACTTAACAACAGAAATTTTGGGCTCAATTGTCATCATAAGTTGAGGACTACTGTTTCATCTGAGCG